CACGTCTCCTCTCCTTCTCTTCCCTCCTGTCCGTTACGTTGTCATCGCGCTCAGTGTAATCATACTCAGACTCACTCACACTGAGACTCACTCACACTGAGACTAACTCGCACTCCGACTCACTCATACTCGTACCTACTCGTGAACAATAGCACTGCCTCTCAGACTCACTCACACTCAGACCCAATCATTATCTGGCTCACTTATACTGCGACGAACTCACACAAAGACCCACTCACGCACAGACCCAATCTCACTCAGACTCACTCACACTCGGACTCACTCATGCTCATACATACTCAAGCGGCTTGTTTGTTTCGCGTCCCCGTTCGCGGCCAGATTGTGGGAATGGCTTAGGTGGTTTGCTGAATTTGGTGCCCTAGGCTTCTCTCTGTTGGTCGTCCAATGCTCACCGCCATTAAGTTTCTCAGCACTTGGCCACCCTAAGGGGTCGCCGCCATGGGGGTATCTCACTCCCCCGCTCAAGGTCAGACTGTAGGGGCTCTCAAGCGGTTTGCTCGTTTGGGCGCCTCAGACTTCTCCCCGTTGGTGGTCCAATGCTCACTGCGATATAGCAGGCATAGCACTTGGGCACCCCAACGGGGAGACGCAAAGGTGTATCTCACTCCCCCATTCGCGGCCAGACCGTGGGAATACCTCAGGCGGGTTGCTGGTTTCGGCGTCTCAGCCTTATCTCTGTTAGTGGTCCAGTGCTCACCACGATACAACAGGCGTAGCACTTGGGCACCCCAACGGGGAAACCGCCAGTGGGCACCTCACTTCCCCGTTCGCGGCCCGACTGTGGGAATGCCTCAGGCGGTTTGCTGGGTTTCGGCGCGTCAGATTTCTCTCTGTTGGTCGTCCAATGCTTACCACGATATAACAAGCTTAGCACTTGGACACCCCAAGGGGGAGCCGCTAGGGGGTGCCTGACTACTTCTTTTGCGACCATATTGTGGGGATGTCCCAGGCGGTTTGCTGGCTTCGGCGCCTCAGACTTCTCTCTGTTGGCTGTCCAGAGCTAATCGCGATCAAGCAGGCGTGGCACTTGGGCACCACAAGGGGGAGCCGCCAGGGGGTACCTCACTCCCCCGTTCGCGGCTTGACTGTAATAACCGCCGCCGTCGTCGTCGCGTCCGTCGTCCACTCGGATTCGCTGTTCACGCCGAGACGCTCACAGCGGGAGGTGCCAGAAAATGAAATGCACATGTGGAGATCTCCCCTTCGAGTAGCTGGCTGGGTCCAGGTGGACTGTCGCCCTCAGCCAGGGGTTTGAAACAAACCTGAATAATGATGGCCGCACACCCCTCCGTGGCAGGACGTGGCGTGGACTATAAGCCCACACGCCTGGCCAGTAGCCACGCACCTCACAGATTGGTGCGAGCTCGGGGGGCTACGGTCAGATCGGGCATGTCCTCCCACAGGCGGATTTCTATGCGAAATAAAGACTTACAAGAAAAGCTGCATAGCAAAAAAACATGAAAGATAGTATCCAAACTATGTTAGAATATTTTTGAATATTCCGCCTGAGACATGCCCGAGTGAAGGCTACGGTTCAAGAAGGAGGCTACGGGAACATGACAAGGACACCTATATTATGTGGGTGCGTGCACACTGGCACAACTGAATACGGTAGAACATCTTAGCTGGTACTGCTCCTCCCCATTCCCCAATGACGAACCAGGCCACAAAACACGATTGTCAATGCCTACAATTTTCGATCGACCGGCGCGTTCGTCCTCGCCGCAACCCACCAACGACCCATCCCGCGACCAACCTCGCGACCCCCCCAGGGCTCACCCGCGACTCCCCCGCGACCCCCCCCCCCGCGACCTCCCGCGACCCACCTGCGACCCACCCCGCGACCCACTCAGCGACCCACCCTGCGATCCACCCCGCGACCCACTCAGCGACCCACCCCGCGACACGTTCGAGACTCACCCGCGACCCACCCCCTTTACCCTTCTCCGCAATAACGGGATACCACGCAGACCGTCCAACTACACTGGCAAACGTTCTGAATTCAGCAGCCCTGGAAAACTTTGTGCTCTTCGTCACACGGACAAAGAAACATGAAATATGTGTCGCGGACCACGCGATCGCATGAAGTCGATAAGGCTGGATCAAGGATCTCCGAAAATTCATGTTTACACATGTCCGTCTACTACCCTTCGGGATTAACCACCAGCCGAAGCTCCCAAACAAAACCGTCAGCCGAGAGGCCACAAAGATCAGCCCTACCACGGCCCCCAGGAGTAGCTACAGGAACCTGCGCATCTGTTCTTTTTTGGGCACCTCGGCAACAAAGGCCATGGCGGACGCCGACGACGACGACAACGCAACGTTGGCGGACAACGAGATCGGCGGCGGCCGCGGCGACGACGACAGCGACGAAGGCCACGGCGGACGACGACGACGACGACGACGACGACGACGACGACGACGACGACGGAGACAACGATGGCGGACAACGACGACTTGGGTGGCGGCGGCGGCGACG